AAAAAAAAAAAAAAGTTTGCCTTTTATAATTGGAGCTGACCCCCACCCCCCTTCCCCTCCCCTTGAACCCCCTGGTGTGTGTTAATTGAGCTGCAGGACTTTCCAGTGTATTTTAATGCTCTCTCCTTTTCAGTGCTCTGGAAAGGTTTGCAGTTAATGAAACAATAATATGTATAATCAAGTAAAAATGTAGTAAAAAAATAGGTGAAACTGTATGGAATTGGGATGGTGTGTGCATGTGTGGAGAGAGGAGGAGCCTCCCTACAGCTTCATATGGTTAATAATATCCCATAATTTTTAATTTTCCTTCTTGGGAATTTCCTTCCCCTTACAAGGGGGAATTGTTTTTTTCCTTGAGGATGTGTTTAGTTAAGGAAAGAAGGCTGTACTGTGTGAAGTGGTCAAATGAACATGATGAGGATACTCAAGAGGCCAAACTAGGTGAAACGCAGAGGGGAGACCTCATAGCTGTCTACAACTTCCTCATGAGGGGAAGTTCGGGGCAGGTACTAATCTCTTCTCTCTGGTTCCCAGTGACAGGGCACGAGGGTGTGAAGCTGGGTCAGGGGAGGTTTAGGCTGGATATTAGGAAAATGTTTTTCACTCAGAGGGTGTTTGGGACTGGGGACAGGCTCCCCAGGACAGCATCACAGCATCGAGCCTGCCAGAGCTCAAGAAACATTTAGACAATGCTCTCAGGTACATGGTGTGATCTTAGGGCTATCCTGTGCTAGGTCAGGAGTTGGATGATGATGATGATGATCCTGGTGAGTCCCTTCCAGCTCAGAATATTCTATGTTTCTATGATTGATCTCCATTATATTTTATTCTCTCTGCATGTGTATCTACAGACATAAATACAAGATGCCCCCTGTTGCCAGAAACCAAGCCCACCTTCAAGTCTCTATGGGCTCTTCATCCCTTAAGATCCCAGAACATTCCAGTGGGGAGTTAAAACACTGTGGAGAACACCTGCCCTCCACTCCTGCCATGGCCACCTCTGTGGGAGCAGTGCATGCCACACTGTGCCTTGTTTTGGTTGCTCGATTTTAAAGCCTATCTCCTGTTTTATGTTAAAAAAACAATGTTCAAAAGAAGTGAGCACAGGTGGGTGCTCTATATATGGGTGCTCTTTTTCAATATGTATAACATTGAATTTACTTACTCAGTCATGTTTTCCTCTTTCTCCTCCTCCCATCTTCCTCCTCCACACCTGCTTTCAATCAGTCCCCTCTGCCCCGCCTGTCATCCTATCCTCTCTGCTGCTTTTACCACAAACCCACTGATGTTATATTTCAAGTCAAACTTTCAAGCCTACAACATTTAAGCAAGTGAATAAAAAAAAAATCCGAGTGGCTTCACCAGCCTCGCAAGGCAGGGAGCTGGCTTGGCCCCGAGGAGTGCGTGGGGGATGCTGCTGACCGCTCGAGCTGCTGAGGTTGTGGTGTTTCACCCTTCTTAGCAGTTGGAGTCTGTTTTTTTTCCTTTATATCTGAAAATGCTTCTTCATTTTTTTTCTAGAGTATGTAAGAAAATGAACATATTAAGGCCAAATGTTGCTGCTAGATGAACAACTTCAGATGTACACGTCTTCTTGTCATGCATCACATAGGCTTAGAGAGTTTTGACCTGACCATGATGGGTATTGGGCTAAAAAAAGAAAGAAAGAAAGAAAGAAAATCAGGCTACCCACAAGATCAGATAAGCATTTATTTATTCTTTGAATTATTGATATAAACTGGGAAACTTTTTGTTAAGTTATTTATAGCAGCCTTCCAGTATCTAAATGGGCTACAGGACAGCTGGAGAGGGAATTTTAACAGAGGCATGGAGTAACAGCTGAAGGGAGAATGGCTTCACACTGACAGAGGGCAGGGCTAGGTATTAGGAAGAAATTCTTCCCTGTGAGGGTGGGGAGGCCCTGGCTCAGGTTGCCCAGATACACTGTGGATGACCAATCCCTGCAGCTGTCCAAGGCCAGGTTGGACAGGGCTTGGAGCAACCTGGGAGAGTGAAAGGTGACAGTGAAAGGGGTTTGGAAGAAGATGGTCTTTAAAGTCCCTTCCAACCCAAAGCAATCTAGGGCTTTGTGGTTATTTTAAATAATATCTAGTTTATGGTAACCAAACTGTGCTGGTTCATGGTTGACATCCCAGTTTGGGTTTGTACTTGGATCAAGTACAAGTGACTTAAGAATGGGCTTGAAAGTTTCATCCTTGGCTCATAATTAGGGACATGAGGAGCCTGATGCTTCCCACGATGTTAAGCAAGGGGAGTGTGTAACTGTCTGGTCAAAGGACTGATCAGGAGGGTCTTCTCTACATCATGGGGCTTGGGGCAAAAAGACTTTCAAGCTGCTATGGGAAACATAGCCTTTTTTTCCATGCAGGCAAAGATAATTTAAATCACCTTCACTTGCTTATTTCACTGTTGCCTCTTTATTTTATCTTATTTGTTTGGATTTCTTATAAAGAAAATGAGTCATCATGAGCACTGCATCTGCTTAATCAGCCTGGGCTTGACTGTCGACTTCTGTAAACCTTGAGCAGATTGTACAGCAGGTCAATGTCCTGCATTTCTGGCTGCTTCCTAAAGTGTTGTCCTGTCCTTTGCCTTCTCAGGTCCTCTTCTTGACCTCAGATTACTTTTGGAAACAGTCTGAAAAGAAGTCCCCATTCAGTGAGATTTCTTACAAATTTAAAGTAGTTCAAAGGTGCAACCAAAAAGTAAGAAAACCCGATTTCTTCTCCAACACAGCACAATTTGTCTAAATGCTCCAAGACTGGTGAGTTCTGATAATGTTGCTTGTGCTGGGGAAAGGGTTGGTTATTTTCATTTTTGTTGCTTTTTCTCAAGCAGAATTACAATTTTTGTTATATGAAGGTAAGGTAGCTAATTGTATTTATATTTTGAAAGACTAAAGAATTAGTCTTAGACTAATTTCCTCAGATAATAATTACTTCTTGAATTTGGCAAGTCTCAGCCACACTTTTCATTTGCCCTGCTAGCTGCATGGGAGAAGTGGAGTTAAATGAGTTAATAGCAAAGATGAGCCATCAAATGGGGCCAAAAGCATGGAAATTGGTGCACATTTTGTTGTGGAAATAAAATTTTAAATCCCCCCAAGCCCTGACAATCACTATACTCAAATGTTGCTGGCAGCCTTCTCCACTTAATAAGGAACCTGTTGTTTTTAAAACTCAGTTGGCAACATAATAGACAAGAAACAGAAAAAAGCTCCCATGGAGCTCAGGCTAGAAATGCCACTATTGTATATTGTCATCAGCAGGTTGACTGACAGCAATGGAAACTGATTGACGTTATTCTCTTGCTCTTGCAACATCCTCTGATGAAAACTTGTCTCTGCTTCTGCCTTTGGCAGATCAACCATTGTGCTGCCATGCTGATTTAGATATGTTTTTAAAAACAAGTAGGGCTATGATAGAAAAGGATGAAGTGGATATGACGAGGTAAATCATTGCTACTTCTCTTCTGAGAAGACCAGTTCATCTTTCCAGCAACCTCAATTTTCTGGGGCTACTCATTTGTACAAGTGAAAATTGCCCTGGCCCTTGGCCGATGCAGTGGAGCTCCTCATAAATAAATCTAATGGAGCCAGAACCTCTGTTGCTGAGGTTACAGCAGCACTATCGGCTTAAAACACAGCGTTTGTGCTTAATGCTTAGTTCATTAACGCGTCCTGTCCATTGGCTCGTTTGGATCTATTAACATAATTGTTCTTTCTAAACAACTGGGTCATTCACTCTGCCCAAACAGAAAATCAAAGCTGGCTTCGATATTTTGGACAAATCACACAGCCAGATAAAACATGGGCTTCTCTATAAACTCACCCAAGCTGAGGTTAGATTAAAATCTTGTGATTCCATTTAGCATCAGCCTTAAATGCCCCTCTCTGTGGGGCATATTTGAAAACAAATGAGATGGCTCTGCAGCTTTTTCTGTTGTAAATGTTCTGTCTGCCTCTAAAACCTATAGCAAAAATATTTTCCCAGACTATTTTGATAATGTTCTTCTCCTTGCCCTGAACAGAAGGGCTCACTTTTACCCTATTATCCCCTGGTCTGGGATGTAAAAAGGAATATTTCCCTTTTCAGTTTCTCTCACATTGGTTTCCCCTTTTACTCATTTCATTTTTTAGGTGACATTGTTCTACTCGCCAAACCTGTAACTTTAACAGAGGGTGACAGGGTGACCTTGACGACAGATGTTCCTGTGGCAACAGATGGCACTAGCAAACCCGAGAAGCTGCTGTATGCCGTCTCCCTGCCACCTGTGCATGGTCAGATTGAGCACATCAATTATCCCGGCGTGCCCATTTCCAGTTACAGCCAGTTGGATGTGGTGGCCCAGAAGGTCTCCGACGTCCACGACAATAGCCATGGGGCCAGTAAGGAGGTACTCAGGTGAGAACACCTCCCCTTTGCACACCAGTGTGCTGAAATCCCTCATCTAGGGAAGGGTTAAGTCTGCCTCTCCTTCTCCCTCTACCAGTTGGTGCAATATTTAATGACTGATGTGGCTGTGGGGAAGAGGCTGCTGCAAACAGTAACACGATGTAATTTTATCATTACAGCAATTACATACTTTATTAACTGTAATGGTGAAGTTGTATGGCCAAAGGCAATAGGAGTCTCACAGGCATAGGATTGGGGTGTAACCAGGTAGGCTTTTGTACCAATTAGCAAGTGAAATCAAACGATTTAAGTACATATAAAGAATTTACCATGTTTCTCAAAGACGCCAGCAGTGGAAAAGCAAAAATTCCCCATCTGCGACTGTTGTTGCTTTCTGGGCAGTTCGTTCTCCTGAAGGGGAAAAAAAAAATAATAATCGTAACATTGTCTGAAATGATCAGGAGAACTTAATCCAGATGGTGGTGTCATTTCTAAGAAAAAGCATATGTTGGCCATTATGATACTTAAATATAATGGTTTTACATTCCTCTAGTGGGCACAAAAGGCACACAACAGAGTTGGCGGGGTTTTTTAATCTTCTGAATGGTGGCAGTGGTGGTGGAGTGGTGGGAGATTTTATCTTCCAAATGGTGTGTTTCCCAGAAGACATGGCAAATTCAATTGAGGAGAGCCTGCTGTAAAAGCCGTGCTCCTGTGGAATGCAAATTTGTGCCTTCCTCCAACCAGTAACAGTGGAGAGGTTTAATTTACTGCCCCCTTCAGATGATCATCATTTTTTTACATTCTTCTGGCTTCTTCTTTTTTCTTCATTTTTTTTCTTTAACGTGTTTTTCTTTCCGATTTGCTTTAAAAGTTATTTACGCTCCCTTTGCAGCAAAGTGGGCACTATAACTAATTTTATTCTTACCATGATTAACTATGAATAATTTCCTAAGAAATGAGTCAAATTAACAAGGGGAAGAAGGAATCAATAAATCATGAAAGCAGCCTATTTCTAAGTGGGGTTAAAACCACCATTAAATAAATCACAGACTCTAAATGATGACCCACTTGGAAGAGGGGGGGAATGTCCATTTAAATTGCAGTGAAAGGAAAAAGGAAAGTGAGGGCAACATCTGTGGCCCCCACACACTGCACAAGGAGGGGGGCACAGGAGAGGGAAGGAGCTCCATGAAGGACCTTGGGACAAAGTAGAGATGTGGTTTCCCTGTGATGGTTGCCACAGATCAGCTGTGGGGAGGCAGCCAAGCAGGGATCAGAAAAGCTCTGGGTTTTGGATGTTTAGGCAGAAATGTTGTTTAATAGCACCTTCTGCCTCCACCCCTGCTCTGCACAGGACCTCAGGAATGCAGGGGTTGACCCAGCCTTGCTTGAAATATCTCAGATATTTTCACTCCACTTTGATATTTTATTTTTTTCATTTGTCTTCATAGGGTTAGTGACAATTTAAACTACTTGGAGACCATTCCAGCACCAGGCCCATCATGCTTCTTAGCTGGTTTATGTTACATCCTTTTAATCTTGCATTAAGGATCATACTTTGCCTGGTGTCATGTTGAGTGCAGTAATGTTACCTAGGGCTAGATTTCCATCTTCCTTGTTCATTGAGACTTAAAAATTTGAATTTTATACAGGGAATGCCATCACTTTTGCAGAAGAGTGGCTCATCCATCTTCACACCAATATGTTAGGACATCTTTAAGCTGTAGAAATTGGGCAGACTTTCCTCCTTGAGTTTTCCTGTGGGAAAGAAGGGGTCAAAATGCTTCTTCCTTAGTTAAAAGGAAAAAATAAAAAAGGAAGGGAGAAGCAATTCTGCTTGTAACCTCCCGTTTGCAATTCTTTTTATGATCTTCTCTCCTCCCTAAACACATTATGAAATGGCCCCAGCTCCCTGCTCACTGGGAAGGGGTACCTATTGCCTTGTGTTATGGGCTGGTTTGTCAGCTGGTTTAAATCAGGATATCTCCATTTGCTGAAATGATGCCGTAGCCATTTAGACTGTGGCTTATAAAGTTAGTTCATAAAGTTGCTGAGAGAGTCTCTTTCCTAATGTACTTTGTGGTCATGGGAGCTCATCTCATTTTTTTTTTGTGTGTGGAACTGAGGAATATTCCATTGATTCAAGCTGATGTTGTGTCTCAGAACCTGTTTGTTCTCGCTCTCTTTTGCCCACCTGGCTGCTGTGGCCAGAATTTGCTTCAGGTTTTTTGGCAAAGCTGTGCATGGGATCACAGGGCCTCGAGGCACAGCAGTGTCTCCCTGTTCACATCTCCAATCAAAGGGCTTCCAACAAAAATCAATGTGAGCCAGGGAAGCCTCGTGCCCTCATTCCCCCCTCTGAGCTGGCACTGAACCAGGGGAAGCACACAAGCATCTTCATCCCAGTGTCCTACATGGTGGTCTCAGTGGGTGAATCATGCTTATCCAGTGCTTCTGCACTGGTTTTAATCTTGGTCTTGTTCTTTAATAATAAATGCTGCTGAACAGAGTAGTGCTTACAGAGCAACCAAGAATGAAGTCTGTTTTTTCTGTATAAACACAGCCCAGTGTGTATCCCCAGAGCAGAGGGACACATGTGGGGAGGGCTGGACCCTTGCAATGGCCATGGAGTGTGTCTCCATTTCCTGCTGCTTGGGGCAGAGAGCTGGGGGCATGGGGAATGGGCAGAGAGCAGAGGAGGAGCAGCAGGACCAAGGAATGGATTTTGAAGGGTAGAATTTGAGTGAATGGGCCAGTTCTCCCTGCAGGGTGCCATTTCTGCCTCTCTCCTCTTCACAATTCCAAAAAATTGAATTATGGGCAGGTAGAGGACTGCGTAGCCCAAGGGTGTCAGTGACCAAGTTGTGTCCCAGGATCATGCAACCTTGGCCTCTCTCATGAAGGAGATGCCTGTGAAAGGGAGGATGTAAGATGAAGCCAAAGGAGAGGGCACCTGCTGGCTGCCTCCACCACAGGAGTGTACAGCATGTCCAACAGCTCTGCAGGAAGACAGAGATTCAGGAAAAGAGATGGGAGACTTGTCTTTCAGACATGAAGGAGTTAAAACACAGGGATTAAAAAAAATCCTTTTTAAAAAAAAAACACACTCACACACACTCACACACTCACACACTCACACACTCTCACAAAACCCTGCACCCTAAATTAATTTCTGCTGGTAATCTATATCGGGTTAAATAACGCCTCATTATTCTGCAACACAGCTGAGGCTTCTCAAAATGTTTATCTTGTTTTGTAACTGGTACCTTCTGGCATATTCCAGTGCCAACTCTCCTAGCTCTTGCTATATTTCATTCTCACTATTTTTGGAATGGAGCTGCTGGTTCCAGGTGATTTAATAAATTGCTTTTTTTTGTGTTCCTTTTAACTTACCCATCTGCTCAACACATGCGTAACTTGCAATCTGTCGGCAGTTTGCAGAAAGACAAACTGTCAGAGCTGCATGCATTTGACAACTTTGTTCCCAATTAGATTAGTGGTAATTTTAACAGATTTCAGGGCAATCGAAAAAAGGGATGACATGTTATTAAAGCATCAATTTTGACAGACCCAAGCACATACAATTTCAGTGTAAATTATTTTAAATGCTTTAATTAAAGCTATGAAAGATTTACCCTTTTAAGCGGTAAGTGATTGCAAGACAAATATAAAGGGAAAGTGGATAACAGAGTTTCCTAAATGGTTTATGCTGCGCATGGCAGTCCACAAGTCACCACCACCATAATCTATGACTGTAATGTTGGAGGCATAGTTAATTATTCATAGCCTCATCTCTTGAGCAGACGTGATTAAGAACATGAGGAGCATTCAGAGATCCAAGCAGTACCTATGAAACCAGAGTTCAAGCCCCTCTTAGATCAGATGCCATTAGGAAAGAGTTTAGAGGTATCTAAATGGTGGATATTGGTGGAAGTGGTTGATATTTTTGTAAATACACGTTCAGTTTTGTCCCAGTTCTGCTCTGGTTTAGCTGGCCAAAGCCCAGTGGTCAGGGTGATTTGAGACTTAGAGTAATTGGGTATTTTCTATACTTGAAGACACTTTAAAGGCTGTACAAGTCCTTTAAAAAAAAAAAGAAAAGAAAAGAAAAGAAAAGAAAAGAAAAAAATACATCATTTATTATTTAAACAGCATACAGCACTCTAAATTTGTCACTCCAGGAACACTCTGCCACATGTGTAGCCCATTTAACCATTTAAATGATTTTGTGAATTATGGCCCCCTTCCAGCATCCTTTGTTCAGTCAAGGCTGACCTTGGCTTTGTGGCGAGAGGGATGGACTTGGCCCCTGTTTCCCAGCCCTTGGGTCCCAGCTGGAGGATCTTTGGCCTCCCTGCAGTCACACCTTCATTGTACACTGAAATTTTGGTCTGACTTGGAGCTGAAACCTTCCAGGATGGTCGTTCCAAGAGTTTCATTTATTTTCTGTGTGGTGTAAACCTGTCTCATTTTCAGACTATTAAACATGAATATTGCCTTCCTATGTAAACTGCTGGTCCCACAGCCTTCACTGAAAGTTTATTTCCTTCTTAATTCAGGGTTTGTAGGGCTTCCTGTTGCTATTTAGAGTAAAAAGCAACAAGCACACTGTCCCCACCCTTCCCTGTTTCTTAAGACCAAGCTTGCATGCATCTGGTTTGGGTTTTTCTTGTTTTCTTTGGAGTTGGGTAAGGCTTGGTATCACTTTCTGAAAAGTTTAAAAGCTTTTTTTTGGAAGTTGCTGACCCAAAGTGTTGTAGTACCAAAATGCAGTGGAAGTGAGAGAAGTTTCTCTGGTGAGCATTGCAAGTAGATGGTCAGAGCATGAGACTTGTTGCTCTTTCCAGCAGTTTGGATGCTGGAATATGGAGTGGCACAAGAAGTCCAGCAAATAGGACAAAATCCTGGTGGAAGTGTTTCACCACCTTGGGGGCAGTTTTTAATCTTGATGCACATAGTGCCAGTCTGTTCTCTCTTTTGCAGGTCTATGAACCAAACTTTGAAAC